TGTTCTGTTGGTTGATTGTGCCTACATTGTTAAGCTAATGTTTGTGCTTACATTGTTATGCTGCACAAGTAGGTGCAACATAATATTATTTGATTGCAGTTGAATTAGTGTTGTTGATGATATCTTTCAAAGTTAGCTTTTAAAAAAGGTAAATGCTAAAATCACCAGGGGTTAAGTTGATCGATTGTTTTGGATGAGAGCAAATGTATTCGGCTTCTCATTAACACCATAATCTACTACACTTTGTGATAATTTGTATTGTGACTTTGATGATAATACATTTGGTCAAATGCAAAAGGGTTAAATGTAAGAAATAGCAACGTACATTCATTAATCTTTTTTATTTTGCAATATTGTACTTTCATTTATTCTCTATTAAGACATTTTAGTATTGTGTTGATGTCTATATGAACAGGCCCATGAGGGTTTATATAGTCTCCATGAAGATGAATGATTCTAAATGGGTGGAACACACAATGCTTAATTTCCATGAAATTAGAACCTAAAACTAGAAGACAAATTAAAGATGAAGAGTTATTATACACTGCCCCAAATTAGACGTTCAAAGACTTGCAAGTCTTGGCAATTTGAATTTATTATCAAGATCTTTTCCAAACTTGTGATATTTTCAAAAATACATCACTTTTAAAAAAGTGATGTGATGAGATTGTTAAAAGTGGGCTCCACAACAAGTAATTCTTGGTCTGTGTTTAGAAGGCCCAAACATGCTCCTGGGCCCATGAGGGTGGCCTCAAATTGGTGGCCACTTATATGAGCATACACAATTTCCATCAATACTTATTTTCCATAAAATTAGAACAAGACTATAAGAAAAATCATAGATGCAGAATTGGGATTAATGGCCCCAAATTATACATTTCAAAGACTTATAAGTCTTGGGGATTTGTCTTTATTGTAGATATCTTTTCTCATCTTGTGATATTTTGCAATTTGTATTTTTTATAAAAAAAAATTGAAAGTATGAACTGGAGAAGCTATGTAGTTTAATTGATGGATAGGCTAATTACTAATTACTTAATGTGTTCTTCTAACAGTTATCATAGAGAGTAAAATGAAAGTTTTATTGGATATACTTTCATGTATTTTTTTTAAAAAAAAATTAATTTCATGTACAAAGAAAATTATCTATCATATTGTAATGAGCATCTCAATTAAGGTTTAGTAACTAAAACATCATTATACTTTCACGGTTTTTTACATTCAATACATACGAGAAAAAATAAATTTTCATATAATAATACTCATATCAGTTAAGAACTAGTTATCTACATACCTCTATGAAGCAGAATCTAAGTTGATCATTTCAATAATTATTTTTAGTAATTTGTATCCAGTTTAACGGCTTCTTTTTTTTTTTTTTTTTTTTTTGGAAAAAGTATTCTCCTGGATGTGTTTAAATGGCCAACATACCCCTTGTATTACATCAAGAGGTAGCAAACTATGAAAGTAGGATACTATAATACTTAATACATCAATACGTTCTTTGAGATTAATATTAATAACATGATTTCTTAAAAAATTTTAAATGAGTAGTGCAAAATGATAGAGGTGAATGGAGTGGAGCTTCAGAAGCTACAAATTTGCTGGTCAGAAAAGACAGTTGCAGAATTGGAGCCTTTAATATGTGATTTTTGATTCACAGGAGCTTAATTTAGGTAAACAGAAGGTAGGATTTGTTGCAAATGAAAACTTCTTTTATGTATGTTATGTTTATTTTGAGTAAAATAAAACGTTTTTGGTCCTGAGTATAGCTGAAATTTTCAGTTTTGGTCCTTATTTGAGGTTCTTGAAATGCTTTGGTCCATGTTTCAGTTAAACTGACTATATTTGGTCCCCGATCGAGTATAGCTGATATTAATTATAGTCATTTTATTTGGACAAAAGAACGTTGAAAAATTGTATTAATTATCATCCTAATCTGTTTTAAATCGAATCATTATTAATGCAGTGTTATCTTAAATATCATTTTTAACAATGGAAAAGACCAAATAATATCATTATTGATATCATTGGTAGATTTGTATTTGACTGAAAGATTCCATTAGTTTTGCATTTGGGGATTTATATCATATAACAAACAATATCATATCAGAAGATGGGAAAAGATATCTACTATAATAAAGACAAATTGCCAAGACTTGCAAGTCTTTGAAGTTTAATTTGGGGCAATTAATTCCACACAATTTATGGCGACCACTTATAATCATTCATCTTGACAGTGGAGACTATATAAACCCTTATGGGGGCAGTTCATATAGGCAGGCATCAATACAAACCAAAAATCAGCAATTAAGATTTTGATTTACATTATGAATTCTTGTGTTTTTATATAATATTTTCTGGCTTCTCTTGCTACTCCTTGTGACTACAACTGGCAGCCAATTGGTAGCTGCAGGAGGAAATGATATGAAAAAAGAAGTGTTTGGATAAGGAGAGAGATGCTCTGCTTCTTATCAGAGCTCCCCTACAAGACCCCCATGGTACTCTCTCTACATGGACAGCTGACGACCATGACTGCTGCAATTGGAGTGGAGTCACGTGCAGCAACCAAACAGGTCATGTCACAGGGCTTGATATGCGTTTCTATGGTCTTGGAGGTGAGATAAGCCATTCACTGCTTAACTTAACCTACTTGAATCATCTTGATCTTTCTTTGAATTATTTCCATGGAACCATTCCCACCATCATTGGTTCTTTGACTCGATTAAGGTACCTTAACCTTGGCTCGAATGATTTTAATGGGACCATTCCCAGGTCAATTGGTTCCTTGACAGAGTTAAATAACCTTGACCTTTCATCTAACTCTCTTTATGGAACAATTCCTCCAGAGTTTGGAAACCTCACCAACTTGCAATACCTTTATCTTAATTCTGTTGGAAGGTGTAGAGTGGAAAAGGTAGAGTGGTTGTCTCATCTCTCTCAGTTGGAGGTACTTGTAATGGATGGGGTTTCCCTGTCCAAAGCAAATCATTGGGTAGATGCAATTTCAAGTCTCCCAAAACTATTTGACTTAAGTTTAGATGGATGTGAACTGTCACAGGTCATGTATCCATATTCTTCTTCATTTCTCAACTCTTCTTCTTCATCTATTTCTTTCCTTTCTCTCAGAAACAACAATCTCACCTCATCCATGTATCGTTGGTTGTCCCCATTAACCACCAATAACCTCCTTTCTCTTGATCTCTCTGGCAACATGTTAGATGGGATACCCAAATATTTTGGTAACCTCTGTAGTTTGGAATATTTGGGATTTTATAATAACTCTGCTGTTGTCAAATTTCCTGATTTTCTCAACAACTTGTTTGGATGCACGTCCTTGACCTTACAAATGTTGATTACTCGAGGTAGCCAATTTACAGGGTCACTGTCCGATGAGATCCAGAAGTTTGCATCCCTAGAATCTCTGTACCTATCTGATAATCAGTTAAATGGAAGTATAAGTGAGAAATTGTGGGAACTACCCAGCCTTGAAACTGTTATCATTTCCTTTAATAATCTTACAGTTCCTTCCACATATCACTTGTCAAACATCTCTTATGTTAAATATCTTGATCTGAGCTCTTGCAAGGTAGGGCCTCGCTTCCCCAAATGGATTCAGACACTCAAAAATCTTACCAGTCTTGATCTTTCCAATACTGGAATTTCAGACGCAATTCCTCTGGAGTTTTGGGACATGTGGCCTTCTCAATTAGAATATCTGAATCTCTCTTCCAACAACATTAGCGGGAAAGTACCAGATTTATTATCGAATTTTGCCTATGATTCAGTGATAGATTTGAGTTCCAACAGCTTTCATGGTCCGATACTGAATGTTCCTTCCACTTTGTCAATATTAAATCTTTCCAGAAAACAAATTCTCTGGAGGAATCTCATTTATATGCCAAATTGTTGATGGGTTCTTATCATTTCTTGACCTCTCTCATAACTCATTAACCGGACAACTCCCGGACTGTCTGTGGCATTTCGATCAACTAGAAGTTCTTAATCTCGGACACAACAATCTCTTTGGAAGGCTTCCTCCCTCTATTGGATCTTTGATACAACTCCAGGTGTTGTATGTATACGATAACAACTTCTCCGGAGAATTGCCTTTGTCCTTAAAAAATTGCACGAGTTTAATCTCATTGAATTTGGGGGCCAACAAGTTTTCTGGTAATGTGCCTGTCTGGATTGGGGAAAGCTTAACAGGGTTGTATGTTGTTATCCTAAGATCAAACAACTTCTTTGGAACCATCCCTTTACAGTTATGTCAGTTACCTAATCTTCAAGTTTTGGACTTGTCAATGAACAATCTCCATGGAAGCATCCCCTCATGTTTGAGTAATCTTACGAGCATGCTTCACCAAGGAGGATTCTCACAAGATGTATACTTTCAAACAACTAGAGGTTATGCAACTAGAGCGGGGAGATATGTCGACCATGCACTGATCGAGTGGCAAGGAGATGAACGTGAATTCTTGAACACTCTGAAATTGTTGAAGAGCATTGACCTGTCCAGCAACAATCTAACAGGACAAATCCCAAATGAAATTACCAATCTTTCAGACTTGATTGCCCTGAATTTTTCAATGAATACTCTATCTGGAGAGATTCCACAGCATATTGGTGAGATGAAAAAGCTTTTGACTTTGGATTTATCCAGAAACAATTTATCAGGGAAGATACCATCAGGCATGTCTCAGATGAGCTTACTGAATTACCTAGACTTGTCATATAATCACTTTTCAGGGAGAATCCCATCTAGCACTCAGCTTCAGTCCTTTCCACCTTCAACATACAATGGAAACAAAGGACTATGTGGACCTCCCCTTACCAAAAAATGTCCAGGGGATGAAGAATCCGAAGCAACATCGGTGATTGGTAAAGGTGAGGGTGATGGGGAAGACACAGATGATGAAGTTGAGAGATGGTTTGTTATTGGTGGGGGGATGGGTTTTGCTACTGGATTTTGGATAGCATGTGGCGCTTTACTTCTCAACCGTCGAGGCAGACGTGCATTTTTTCAGTTTTATGACAGCTTCAAAGATTGGGTTTATGTGAAAGTGGTTGTGTTCATTTCAAGTTTTCAAAAGGCTAGACACACGTAGTTTGTCAACTAGTTTTTATTTTTGATTTCTTATTTTCTAATATGTAATGTAATGTAATTTGGTTGGGGTTTTTAAGTCCCCCATATCAATAAATTTGCCACCAACACCATGGGTGGCCATTTTCTCTGTTTTGTATGAAATAAGATATCCTGGAAAATTCATATATTCATAGCATGTAAAAACAAGATGAAAATTAGAGGTGCACTAGAAAATCATAAACCAAACCAGACAGGTCTAGAAAAAAAAACAGTTGTTGATACAGATCAATTTGGTTTGAAAACGAACCGCCTGTTTGGTAATGTTTGGTAACTGAGAATCCATTAGATTTCTTACTTTGGTAGCAGTTGCACTTCCATAACATTGCGTAATGGAAAACATGGTTAGAATCAGCTTTTTGCATCAGTGATTCAAAACTGAATGAGCAACCGAGAATTACCATTAACCCCCCAAAAAAATGGAAATTGAAAGTGTAATTTACTCCTGAGTTTATAGTTTCTATTACCAAGTTGTTTCTTGTATTTGCAGCACATGGCACTTGGATGACTACAGTCATCCAGATGAATAAGTTTTTCAAGAAAGAAACGGTTGAGAATAAAAGGTTATAAATACCATTTGAACTTGCATATTTTTCTAAGTTCTCCTAAAACATACTTACTAATGTTCCAAATTTTACTGTGAAATCTTTATCCAAGGCTGTGAATTACGAACATTTTGTGATCATTCAAAATTAGAGAGTGAAGCGGGATGTTTGGTTAGTGCTATTGTAGATAGTCTTAAGATTTTACCATGTATGATATCCTACTTGCTATTAATGTGGTGAATAAAAGGCTGCAAACTATCTTTTAGGTTCTCAAGCCTTGTGTGAAAAGGCAAACACTCGGAGTCGGATCATATTATCATAAGAAAATGAAAAGATGGAGATGGGTGGTGCGGTTCTAAAGTTGAAACCATGAAAGTCAAGAGTTACAAAAAAATGTCATTTGGTGATAGAACATCACAGTCCAATCTTATAAGAACACTTCTCTCAAAATAAAAATGGGGTTTTCAAGATTGTTAATTTATCTAGTATATAACTTTTGTTATCTATCATCTATACATAAGATGATGTCAATATTTAGCCACATTGTTGGCATTTTGGTATAAATTGTAATCTAATGTGTTTTTGCGACATAAATAAATCAGTTATAAGTATGATGGGGGGTCAACATGATCCTTCTTGCAAAATTTTGTGCACATTACATCCATCAATACAACCACCACCATCATATAGCACCATGAATTCGTTAGGATTTTGTGTTAAATAAACAAAAAATTATGCATAAGATTAAGATGAAAGCTTTCACGGGTTATGAAATCATGTAGTCAACATTGATGAGGGTGATGCTGGTGAAGGAAATGGTTATTTGATTTTTTTTTTCATAATCAGTTTTAAGTTTTCAATAAATAAAAATATACATACTAATTATTGTTTTATGTTAAACTAAATTTCAAGTTTAATAAAATAAGAATTTAATAAAAAATAAAGTTCACATGAACGTCATATTAGCACCACATGGTTAGGATCAAATATGCAAACAAATTTAACTATAAGATGTTTCCAATTGCTCCATTTTATTAATTTTGAAATCCCTAATCTTCACTTCTTTTGAGTTACACGTTGTTGTCTTTATCAACACTTTCTATCATCCACCTTTATCTAGGGTTGGCACTCCCAACCCAACCCAAACCAAACCCAACTCTGTAATTAGTAATTAGCAATTAGCAAGTTGGATTGAGATCTCAAACCCGTTTAATTAAATGGGTCAAATCATCTAACATGTTTAACTAAATGGGCTAGATTATGGTTGAATACTTGAAATTCTTAAAATGTTTACAACCCGTTTAAAAATTAGATATCACTATACTTACATACTTCAAATTGTATTATCTTGATGAATGATAGCTTCAATCTAATGTTATGTAGTACATGTGTTTTGGCGATACAAGGAAGATAATTGTATAATCATTTCCTCATATCTTTCATAAAAGATTAGATATCACTATACTTACATACTTCAAATTGTATTATCTAGATTAATGATAGCTTCTAAATTACCATTGTAAGTGCATGAGACTGTGTTAGTTTGATCTCATTGTACGAAAAAAGAAATGTACGTCACTTATTTTTACTCGACTAAATGGTCATAAGTGTTTTTCTAAATGTTTGTAAATAAATGGTTTTCCTTTTTTTCATTTGCCATATATATATATATATATATATATATATGGTTATGTTATTTTGTTTTTACTAACTATTGTGTGCCAGAATGCACAAATCTGGATCACCGAATGGAATAGAATCAAAAATCATAATCTGAGGGTCTATGATATCACAATATGGTAACATGTACCATATAATCACACAAATTCCAGCATAAGGGCATTTTAGCCAATTAACCTATATTTCAGCTTTTAAGGGATAATGAATTCCTTTATTTTCTAAAATCTGAATATTTTAAAATATTTCAAATTTAAAAATCTGATTTTATTCTGTCAGAATGTCAAACATTAATTAGTAAAGATATTTTTGATTCTATTCTTGTGTAATATATTTCCAATGCATATATTTTTATAATTAACCTGATTTAATAATTTAACATATATTCTTCATAAGCATTCGAACGTGAATACAAAATCATACATATTCTTACAAACTAATCGTCTTATACAATTTAATATAGTTATACATATTCTAACAGAATATCATCAAAAATGAATAAAAATATTAAGAAATAACATTCTTAAATATACAATTATTAAGCAAATACACATGATCTTTATCAATAGTCCAAATAATGCACTTGATTCAAACTATGATGAAAATGTGATATATTATCGTAAAAATGTAATTCTTCGCAATATATACTTGGTGTTGACCTCGATTCCAAATTTTTATCTTGTATGATCAATATTGAATTCCTTCTTCAAATTCATTCTGAAAGAATAAGATGCATTATTCGTTAGTATTACCAATGAAGCTAATGTACTTGTTGTTAACAAACATTCTCAAAAGACATTCTAATAGAATACATTTATATAAATAAATTCTGACAGAATACAAGCATTACTTATAATATAGAAACTATATAATAGAGAATGATAACATATTCTAACAGAATGTATTTTATTTTTCCTATCTAGCAATTTTTTTTACTTTTCCTATCTTGACAAATAAGGAGATTGAAATCGAATTCTGCCAGAGTATTTCATTTTTCCTATCTTGCAATGTTTTTTACTTTTCCTATATTTACAAATAAGAAGAGATCGAAATCAAATTATGTTGAATTCATTCTCTTTAAAACCTAAATCCACAAAAAGAAAACATAATCAACTTTCAAATATTAAAAAAATTGGAGCATTCTAAAAGAATAACAACTATAAATTCTGATAGAATGTAGTAGACATCAAACAATTGTAATTTATTCTAACAACATGCATTACTAGGTGGGAGACGATGGAGGAGATGATAAGGAAGACGACGTGTGTTGTTACCCATATATAGATTGTACAATGAAACACCATACTTCTAATCGACATTTCATCGAACACCTTTTATGTGCACACTATATCATCACAGATTCTATCAGTTGTTACTCATAAGTCAAACGTTTCATATAATATAAACACACATTTATATAGATAAATGCTTGCAGCAATTTTGTATCCTACAAATTCATATTCAAAATCAATTAGAAAGTATTACTTAAAAAATCGATTTCAAATAATCAATGGATTTCATAGATGAGAAGAGAAGCAATAAAATCGATTTCAACAAATCAATTTTTGTGAAGAAAGAAATCGATTTCAACAACTGATAGAATCTAAAAAAATAAAATTTTGAGAAAAAAGAAAATCGATTTCATCGGTGTTGGTGGAGGAACTCACGACATTGATGGAGGCAGAAGGTGGAAGTATTAGTGGACAATGATCGGTTGGTTGCGACATCACCGGTGAATGGTGGATGAATGCGATGTAGTGGATGAAGTCGGAGGCGACTACAACTGTTGAGCAAGTCAGAGACGTGTTCTACCACACACGAGTAGGTCAAATATATTTACTTTATTTCCTTAATTGTAGGATTTCAAATAAATGATTTTCATAATTAAAAGTACAAAATGTCCAAAATACCCTTAAATGATTTATTCAAAACATCAGAATTTAAAACAATCAACGACAAAATGAAGGGTCGTAGACTTTACAGTGGACGCACATACACCAGATTATAACAATATCCACTTTTTTTTTTAGTTTAATTTTTTAGGTCATGTTTTTATCGAAAAAAAAAATGAATATACCGTTGTTCATGATTTTTCATCATCTTTCCATAGAGATATATATTGATATATAAAAAAATGATTTTTTTTATTTAAAACACACTTCGTTTTCTTTGTTTTTTTAAAGTTAAGGTCTATTTTTTATCAAACAATATTAATAAATATATCAAATTCATATTTTTTTGGTACTCTATAAACATAGATTCATATTGATGTTGAAAAAAATAATCGAAATTTCAGTCAGATTCACAGTGTGAATAATAGTAAGTCATATTCACATTGTGAATTATGAATACTAAATATATACAGTTCAAATTCACAATTGAATAAATTCATTTGTTGATTTTACAAAACAAATTTATGAGTAATGAAAACGTTAAAATATTATAAAACTACATGAAAATATATTTCGATTCATATATAAATTTCACTTAATTTGTGAATGATCAAAGAGTTAAAATAACAAGTCAGATTCATATTGTGAATGTTAAAATTAAAATATTTACAGTTTAAATTCACAGTGTGAATCTGAACTTATCGAGTTTTTTTTAAATTAATGTTGATGTTTATTAATAGAGGACAAAATTTGAGATTTTTGGTATAATTAGTTTTTTTTGGATAAAAATAAAGTTAAATATTGAAAAAAAAAACAACAAAACGAACTAAAAAGTTTATTTTTTATATATC